ACCAATGCTGCAGGCTTACTGGTTATGCCTGATCTGTGCAGTGAAATTGGCATTATAAGGCTCAAATATGTTTTGCAGCTCCAGACAGATTTTTATTTTTATTTTTTGTTGTCCAAAAATTGCCTTTTTCATAGTAAAGGTTGCTGACCCCAGCCTTAGAATGAACCACAATGCAGTAGCCCAGAATGGATAAACCAAACAATCTCTATATAGGGCCATTCATGATTTTCATGAGTTTCGTGGCCACAGTTTCTCCTACACACTTGGAAGGCTGAGCTGTATTCAGATGGTTACAATCTGCTACTTCACTACTCGATGCAATTAAATCTTACACACTGGTCCTTCAGAGCAGCAAATCAAATCTTAAGGGAGACATTTATACAAAGAATAGGATAGGATTGATTGGTCGGATTGATCCAACTGAGAATGATAAATAGGAATAAAATAGAGAACTGAACAGTTAAAATATTCTTTATTCTTCTTTATCTTTATCTTTTTCAGTCTTCTTTTCATGATAATTATATATCCAAAGTTACAGTATATCCTTACTTTATCTCACTGGGTAACAAGCCACAGTGTAAATATGTTGTACATCCGTATACCAAGAAAATACCTTTAGGTACAAGTAAAGAAATTACAGTGTAATTAGGTAGAACTAAATTACACTTTAAATACTTTCTAAATTCAGAACAGGGTACCAGCAGACTAGGTCCATGTGTGCTTTCACAGAATCTATGTCATGAAAAGGCATGAAAATAACTGCATCTCACTAAAAACAGTGCTAAACATTAATAGAATCTGTAACTAACTAAAGTGAAAAAGGTGCAAAGAAGGGACAACTTTATTTTACAGCCCACAGTAGTTCTAAAAATACCCTCTTAAAAACAAAGTCGTCCCTTTCTCTGTATTCATGAGTATTTTGTGAATACCATGTACACATTAATAATTATACAGTAATTTGGGGGCTGTAATCTAAAGCTTTATCTTTCACTGTGACGCGTAAGTGTTTGTAAGAAGCTTTGTCTTGTCCTCACCTGAGAAGAGTTGCATGCTCATGCTACAGGTGTCCCCGCTGTGACGTGACTG